TTGCCAAGTGGAGCATTTACTTTACATGCCACACTGTTCTAGAGTCTTCCATGTACCTTGTCATCTCACTAATTCCCTCCCAACAATTCATAATGGTCTCTATTGTTGCAGAATTTGTCATTGTGATCCCAGAACAACTTTCAAATACAGAGATGTGACCTTATGTGGCTTTTGTCATCTCAAAGAATCCGGGATTCTTTTCTGGGTTCAAGAGAACCAGTGGCTGACACCTCCAGTCTGCACCCCAAGCCAGGTCAGTGGGTTCTATTGTTGATGGGGACCTGGTCATTGAGCTTGCCTTCCACTAAGACCCCTACTGGAGAGAAAAGGGTGTCTCCCTCCCAGCCTCGGGGCCACTGCAAGCCTTGGACAGAGGGATTCAGGAGCTTGTCTGTCTTGGCTTTGTGGCCAGGCACTGTTGTAGTGACATGTTCTTGGTTGGGGGCTGCAAAGGATAGCAATCCTCCACACCTAGGTGGCTGTCAGAGAGCACCCAGCCTTTCTGCCAGTCCAGGGCCTGGTTTTCACTTCCAGCGACTTCGATCTGTTCCTTGTACCCCACCTGCCTTAGGTGGCCTGCATGTGACCCACGTTCCACACCCAGAGTCACCCGCTATCCTTAGGCCCAGGCAAGAGGTGGAGGCTGCCTGGGGTGGAGCTGGGGGGGCGGCAGTCCCCCTTTCTCACCCCCGGAAGCTGAGCGCCCCCACCCAGTGACTTCTTAGCCAAGCCTGACCCACCCCACTACCTGCCTGGCTGTGTGTGGGGCATGTGGCTTGGCACAAGTCTTTATAAAGCTATTCCTGTGTGCAGGGTCTCCTTTGAGGGTCTGTGTGTTACTTCTAGAAATGACACCAGGTCATCCTATCCTGGGTGTTAAGGATGCAGGGCACCCAAGGGCCGTGGGCGGGCCTCTCCTGGGGACCCTACCTTGGGCCCGCGCTCCCAGGGCTGTCCCCCAGGGTGCTCAGGCTGCGCTCTGGGAGCCTCACCCGTAGAGGAGGTCAACATCCTCCTGAAACACTGTCTCCACCTGCGAGACATGTATGGGTGGCTCCTGCTCCTCACACCCACTGTGCGAAGCCACAGTCCCGGGCTGTGGGCCCGAAAGAACCTTCTACGGAAACAGACTTGGGAGAGCAAAAGTTCATGGGCTGGATACAAACTGAAGCCTCTCCCGCACCGGTTCCACCACCAAGAGGCTATGCGGATCGGGTCTGGCTGCAGGATGGATGCGGGGGGTGGCAGCCCTCACCTCCGAACTTGGAGTTCAATCGCCACCTGGGCGGGAGTCGCGTCCGCCTGCGCCGTGGGAGCCTGCGAGGGACCGAGCGCACGAAGAGTGTAGGAGAACCCACTTAATTCCAAACCGACCTGGGGGAGCCCCGGCGGACGGGCTCTCCGCTGCGGAGCTGCCAGCTGTCCTGGGTTCGAGCGCAAAGCCAAAGCCTCCGGTGACTTTAGTCTGATGCTGCTCCTCTCCTGGCGCTGCCCAGGAATGCGAGAGCAGACGGCGGCCTGACCGACGACCAGCCGCGGTTCACTTTGCAGCTGGCACCTTCCATTCTCTGGTTATTTCAGAGCGCAAGTCCAAGGCCAGCTCTCTATGCAGAGCGCGGGTCAGCCTGCACTGTGCACGCGCAGCTCACCGCCGGGCGCAGAGAGCACCGCGCCCCGGGCCCCGCCCAGCCCTTGGATCGCTCCCTACCCACTTGCCCCGCCCACCGTCCCCCCCCCAGCTGCGCTCCGCCCCGCCTGCTCCGGCCCCGCCCCAGCCGCGCCCCTTGCTGTTGCCTGCTCCCTGCGCCCCACGCCCTCCAGCCCTGCGCGCCCCGCGCCGCCGCCGGGTGGCTGGCGCCCTCCAGACCTTCTCCCGGACCCGTCCGCCGTGTCCCCTGGGCCACCGTCTCCAGGGAACCCGATCCCCGCCCCTGGCACCAGTACCCGGTACGAAGCCCACCTGTGCGGGCGTCTGCACCCCCGCACCCCAATACACCGTCCAGCCAAGCCTGGGCTCAGGGGTGCAGGGTGGGGTCACCGGGGGGCCGGGCAGAGCAGAAGTCCGCACTCTGCTGGCGAGCCAGAGGCAAGGGGGTCGAGCGCGCTCTGGTACCCTGGGCGGGGCCGCGATGCTCTCCTGAGCTGCCTGCATCCTTTTGTGCCTCTGGGGTCGCGGTCCCACGGTCTCTGCCACCGCCCGTGGCGGGGTAAGCAGGGCCAGGTCTGGGACGTGATGTTTACTCTGCGGACCGATCACTTCGGTGCCGCCCTCCCCTCCCCCTGCTCCGGTTCCGGAGCCAGTATCGCACGCTCTATGGCTCTGTCCTCCACCGCGGCGACCTCCCGAGCTTTGCCCTTGAACCCAAAACGGCTGGGGAAGGACAAGCCGGGTCCAGAGGACCTGGCGGCCTCCTCCCTGGACGCGCCTTCTCCCTAGCGCCGCTGGTGAATACTGTCCTGCCTCCTGATTTCTTGACCTGAATTCCTGAGGACTAGTTCTTCCCCTGCCTCCTCTCGGTTTCGTCTTGCGTTCTGCTTTGTCTTTTACTGTGGTCTCGCTGTCTCCAGGGTTGTGCTGTTCTTTCCTTCTCCTCGGAGGATAGGAGTTGTGTCCTCTTTGGCCGTGGGCCCCTGCTGTTCCTCTGCTTGCAGTGTTTGGGGCTGCCGTGGGAGGGGACAGTGGACATCACACCTACCTTTTCCAGTAGGTTCCTGGGCTCTGCTCTGTCCCCGGGAGAAGCCAGCCTGTAGATTTCCTCACCGGCCCAGTGGGCTCCAGGCTGAAGTTCTCCCACGGCAGCCTCGCTGGGAGGATGGGTGACTCCTGCTTCTGGAATTCGCCGGGCTGAGCCGCAGCTCTCCAGTGTTTTTCCCCTTTCTCTGGGGTCAGATTATCTCCAGGATTCCCGCGGAGGAGGAAGAAACCAGAGAGGAGCGCAGGCCCTCCGCTCGCACCTTTTCCGTTTCATCCCCAGCGCGGAAGGGCAGAATGAGCCTTTAGATATGGGCTTTGAAGATAGCTCCCCGTGGAGACTGAGATCTCGGGGTTCAGGAACCTACTTTTTGCAGCTTTTGAGTGGAATTCGAACCCAGGCCTGGCTCAGATCAATCAGTTGCTTTGCTTTAAAAAACTGAACAAAACAGTGACCGCTCTAAAGAACAGTGTGAATCATCACCGTATGCAGCCCAGCCACGGCTCAGAAAGCGCTCCTGTGGTTTGCTTTGGTGCCACCCAAGGGAGCTTCTCTGGCACCAAAGCAGGTGTTGAGAAGGGCTGAGGGGGCAGAATGCGATTGGTTTGCCAGAAGGAAACCAGGTCGAAGTGGCTGCTTTTGAGCAGAAGTCCAGTCTGAGTGTGCAGAATGTGCACTTTTTCCAGTTTTAACCAGCTTCTTATCTTTTCTTTCCAGACCTCTGAGGAGCTTAGAAGCAGGCATGTGGGATGACATTCACTGATGCCCGCGTACCTGTGACCTGTCAGGCCAGGGGCTGTTGCTGGAGGTCTTTCTCAACCCATCCTGGACAGGTAGGTTAGGGATGAGAGCAACAGGGGAGAAGAATGAGGGGATATTGTTTTGTAGTTATGTTAAGAATTTGAGGGTACGGGAGATAGCTCAGTAGAATAAGCGCTTGCCTGGCAAGTGCAGGGGCCTGAGTTCAATCCTTGGTTCCACCAAAAAAAAAAAAAAAAAAAAAAAGAATTTGAGGGAGACCCTGTACTAAATACATTTTTTAAAAAAATTTAAGGGCTGGCAGTATAGCTCAGCAGACTAAGCACTTGCTTAGGTATGCACAGGGGCCAGGGTTTGATCCCTCACACGGCATGCCACACCCATCCTGACCCTGAGCGCGGTGATGCACGCCTGTAATCCCAGCACTAGGGAGGCAGAAATCAGGAGGATCACTATGAGTCTGAGCTGTGTAGTGAGACCCTGCACACACACACACACACACACACACACACACACAAAGAATTTGAAGCCAGGCCAAGCATGTTGGCGCACGTCTGTAATCCCAGCACTTGGGAGGCTGAGGTAGGAGGGTCACTGGGGGTTCGATGCCAGTCTGGGCTACAGAGTGAGTTCAAGGCTAACCTGAGCTACACAGCTAAACCCTGTCTCAAAAAGCCAAAAATAAATAAATAAAAGTAAGTTAAAGAAAAAAGAATTTGAAGCCAGGATTGGTGGTGGTGCATGCCTATAATCTCAGCACTTAGGGGCTGGGGAGATGGCTCAGTAGAATAAGCGCTTACCTGGCAGGTGCATGGGCCTAAGTTCAATCCCTGGTTCCGCAAAAAAAAAAAAAAAAAAAAAAAAAATCTCAGCACTTGGAAGGCTGAGGCAGAAGGGTCATTGCAAGTTCGAGACTAGCTGTGAATTCAAGGTTAGCCTGGTTTATGTAGTGAGTTCAAAACTAGCCTTCACTACATAGCAAAATCCTGTCTCAAAACCCCAAACAAAAAAGGAATTTGAATAAAACCCACCTTCCTGACTCTGAAGCCAGAGACTTCTCTGTAGAACCCTCATGCTCCAGGGAGTAGAGGGAAGAGTAACCCAGATTTGTGCTAGGAGCTAGTGAGGGGAAGCAAACTAGACCTCAGTCAGGCACCCAAGACAGTGCTGCCGGGGGACAGGGGGACTCTGGGCTGAGTGGCACCTCTGTGAGCTGCAGCTGGGGCATGTGACTTGTCCCAAAGGCAGCAGGGTACAGTGAGGCTGGAAGTAGGAAGCTGGGCGAGAGTGTGTGCTACTCGTCCATCGCGGGAATTTGGGCCTAACTGGGGAGAGGAACACACATTTCTCCCTTTCTGGTTGTGGATCTCATCTAAAAATTAAAATGTGGCTGGATAGCGTGACATGTAATCCCAGCACTCTGAGAGGCTGAGGCAGGAGGATCACAAGTTTAATTGAGGGACTTAATACGATCCTGTCTCAGAACAAAAAAATTAAAATGGATGGGGAGCTGGACACGGCCGCACATGCCTGTTACCCCGGTACTTGGGAGGCTGAGTGTCTTAGCTACTCTTCTCTCGTTGCTGGGACAAATACTCAACACTCAGAATGGAGGAAGGAAAGGTTTATTTAGCTCAGTTACTGGAGTTTTCAGTCCATGTTGAGCTGGGTCCAAGGCGGAGCAGCACATAGCAGAAAGCAGCCTTTCATGGCAGTGGCCAAGAGCAGGAGCACAAGGGAGGGGTCGCAGCAGCTC